TTGGGTGATCCAACCAGGCTGCTAGGAATCTAAACGGTTTCTGTCTAGAATTTTTGGGTTGTTCATAGTATGCAAAATAATAGGACAATGATAAGATCTCATTCTGTCAAGGTGTTGGACTCTAGTTTCTGGGTATAGTTCTAACCATTTTAAATTCATAATGCATCTATCTAGTCTTTGTCATAGGTTGCCCCGCCTCCAAGTAAATTCATTACCTTGGAAATTCACATCAATCAAATTGTTGTTGAAAATAAAATCTTGGAAATGTTTACTTCCTCATCTATAGCTACTGCTACCACCAGTTCTTTCATCAGGATTCAGAATACAATTAAAGTCTCCTCCTAGAATCCAAGGTTCATTATTGCAAGGTTTGAGCTTGTCTAGGAGATCCCAAAGCTTACAAAGAATGTTTGGGTTGGGGCTATCATAAATTGCTGTAAAATATTTCTAATAGTTACTGTTTTTATCCTTAATATGAGTATGGACAAACTGGTTAGAGATATTTAATATTTTTACCTTAACCGAATTATCTCATAGAATCCAGACGCCTCCACTGTGACCCTGAGCTTCGATTCTAAAGGAGTTAATGTACCCCATATTGTTGATAATTCTGTCAGCTCTCTTACCACTTGTGTGAGTTTCCATCAGGGAAATAATCTTAGGTTTGTGAATAATCACACAATATTTAAAGTGTCTTCTAAAAGAGGGTTTAACAACCCCTTGAGTATTCCAAAATAGAATCTTCATAATTACTGAGTTAAATGATAGGTGATTTTTGACAGATCATTATCCTTCTTTTCACCATCTTGATTCTGGTTCAGATCAATTTGCTCCAGTGACTGACTTTGGTTGTTTGTAGGGTTTTTGTTATCAGGAGGAGCCAAATTCTCCGAGTTCATGGAATTTTCTTAGACCCATTCTGAAATTAATTGAACGTTAGGATTGGTAGAAGGTTTAGATTTTCCAATTTTTAGTCCTTTTTTGGTAAAGTGGGATACTTGCTTTGATTTTTTTTATTGAGATTCCATCTAGAAGTACGATTTCGTATGTTGTCCTTATCATGAATGGTAATTGCTGTATGAAATCCATCTCCCATATTTACCCTATGTTCACTGATTTGTACTTCTTCATTCACCATGACTTGGATTCCTCCTATCTTAACCTCCTTAGTAATGTCTTTGCTGGCTGTCATTTCACTGTCAGTAATAGGGACATCAACTAATCTATTTTCAACTTCAATACTAGTGTGATCAATTGTCTTCTGAACCTGGTCTGCATTAATATCTGTTTGAGATTGTGTGTCTTTGTTCCTCATTTTTTCTTTAAGTCTCATACTGTTTTCCATCTGCTCTGCTGATGTGTTTGTTTTTGTAGCAAGTGTTTGTATATCATTTAACTTGCTTCGATATTGGTAATCTTTATTGTTTCCCCTTGATTCTTCCTCTAGATGTTCCTCATGTAAAGGGGCAAATCTTGATCCTTGTCTTGACGTTCCTTCAATCTCTTTGTTTTTGTTTTGCGTTCTTTGGTATCTATTGTCTCTTCCTCTTGGCTAAACAACCATCCAAGGACCAAAGTGATTTTCTTTACTCTTTTCAATATTGGATTGTTCTTCCATAGTATTGATATTGCTGTTAAAATCCCTCTGTTTATCTTCTTGGTTGGATTGACAGTTTTCTTTAGCATGTCCATAGGTACCACAATTGAAGCAGATTTATTGCAGTCCTTCATATTCTATCTTTTAGATGAAATCATCAATTCCCACACATGGAATAAGAGATTTGTTCAGATTGATAACTACTGTAATTTTTGCAAATTTTCCATTTTCTCCAACTTTAGTATTGTAATCAATTTTGATGACTCTTCCAATCGTATTCGTAATTGTTCTGATTAACACTGAATTGTAATACCTGTACGGCAATCCAGGTAGTCGCAGCTAGGTAATAACTTGTGTGGGGTGTTTTTCAGATGTGGTAAAGTTCCTCGACCATGGTTGAACAGTCAGGTAACTACCAAATATCATCCAAGGGCCATCAGTGAGAACTCTAGTATAGTCCTCAATATTTTCAAACTTTACTAAGTAGTAATCATTATCAAGATCAATTAAATTGAAATTTCCTATCAGCATCCATAACGCCTGAATCCTGTTCATCATCGCTTTATATCTAATCTTTTTTCCCAACAGTCTCGTGATGATAACTTGTTTCATGTTTCGATCAATTAGGTCATGGATTCGCTTAGAGAAGTTTATTCTAGGAAAATCTCCAGAATTGTCCATGGTAACATCTCCTTCTTGGTAAATTATCTCTTCTTCAGGCATCTTGACTGGCGGATTCTTGTTTAGAATCGATCCTTTGGCAGCCATGGCAGTATAATAGAGCTTCTCTGGACTCTTGGGATGAACTTTCCTCGCAACATCTTCTTCTTGAACTTCAACTTCAGTCTGCATGTTCTCCGTTTGCTGAATTGTTTCCTCATCTTCAATTGTTAAAACCCGATTCTTTACTTTCTTTGTTGCTCGTTGATCTTCTTGGACGCTATTTTTGTTCATCTTGTTCTAGTATACCAATATATTTGATCTTTTATTCTTGACTTTTATTTATTAATTATAATTTACAACTTTTTATATTTTAATTTTTTAATTGAATAAATCATTCTTAATTTTATTTATTAATTATAATTTAATATTGTATAAATATTAAACTATAATTAATGAATAAAAAATAAAAATTATTTTTCTATAGTAAAAATTAAGAACTATTTCTTCCATTAATAAAGTTTAAAAACTATATTGACAACAGTGTTAAAAAAACTATATTTAAATATGTGATTGAACTTAATGGTTAAGACAATTTCATCCTTTATCCCAATTTGCATTTTTATTTCTTTTTTTTTCCTGTTAGTAAACCAAATAAATATATATAGCATGTTGTGATAAAGAACCAAAACGAGGGGCTTGGTGGAGTGGTTCTGACGTGCGCTTGATATTTTGATGTCCAAGGTTTGATCCCAGCCTAGCTCTCCATTCACAGTTTCATTTTCAAGGTGGTGACACGTGTCACCACCTTATTGGAAGAAAAATAAATATATTAAATAAATAAAAAATTTAAAAATATCCTTAAATCATATAATTACATGTGTCGTCATTCATTGGAGATTAAATTTATTTTAATTAAAATAAATTATATCCAAATTGATAGAATGTATAATATTAACGATCAAATATGTAATTATACCAAGTTTTTTAACTGCCACGTCATATCCTTCGTTAAAAACTAACTGTCAGTGACTTGATTGAAACGTTTAAATAATTTGATTGTCTGATTGATCAAATCGAAACATCGGTGGTTAAAATAATTTTTGACAATAATTGAGTCGTAACCCGTGTAGTTTACCCTATATATTATAGTGCAATGACATTCATCAGCACAGGCTATTGTTAATTGTCATTAGCACTGTCATTTGATGCTGACTACCAAGTATTTTCCTTTCCTTTGTAAATACAGTGCAACATGATTAATATAAATACTTTTAATCATTATCTAAATTGAATATCAAAAATTAAAAAATAAGTTAAATCATTTTAAACACATTAAACTTTTATCAAATACGTTAAAGCATCATTAAATATATCAACTTTAACAGTAAAAATAAAAATAAAGTTGCAAAAGTTCACTGGATAAAATATAAATTTTAAATCTCTTTAATTGTTTTTTATGTTTAGAAAGCTTTGACTAATTTCATATTTATAGTTATCATTTTCATTAAGAAACCATCAAAATCCGTGGGACTTTACACGTTGAAATGAGAATGACTGGTCAGGGGCTTATGGCCATAAACCCCACAAATCAAAATGCGAAGCAGTTTTACGCACACATGCGAGTAATTCGGGATGGGCATACGTCAGGTACGTTCGAGTCGGATTTTTAGTCAATTCGATCCAAAAAATATATATCTTTTACATAAAATTAAATCTGATATGAGTTTAGGGATTATTTTATCCGTCCCGAACCCGATTCAATCTGACCCAAAATAAATATATTTATAAAAAATATTATTTTTCTTCAATAAAAATAAGAACGTAACTGAAAAATTAATATATAGAGGATTATTATTGTAATTATTTTTAAATATATAAGGTAAATTTATATTATTTTCGGGTTAAATATTTTTCATTTTAAATCTAAACTCGACTTGAGCCGAACATATTTTTTAAAAATCCAACCCAAATCTAATCTCAAATGATTTAAAAAAAAAAATTCAAATCGATCAGATCGAATTAGATTTAAAATTGTCATATTTGAACCCATGTCCATCCCTCCACAGCTACATGTAACCCAACCACAAGGCAGTCGACAGTGGCTGCTGAGTAGAAACATTTTGTAGACGAGCACGCTCACTATGTCGCGGCTCCACCCATGAGGCCATGTCTTGCCTGACTGCAACTTAATTGTGCTGTCAAAAACAAGCCATGTTTGTTAGGCCTTTATGGAAAGTGTCATCGACAACATATATATATATATATATATATATTTGATTGAATTTCAAGACTTGTAAGGAATACACTTTTTTAGTCACGGAATCCACTTGATTAATAAAATTAAATCTTTATTCTCTCTATACTTAACGCCGCAGCCTAAGTGGTCTCATTTAATATTTGTCCAAGGCAGGCACAAAGCCATTACGTTGCATGACGTGAATGTTGAACCTAAACTTTCCGGACCAATTACAGGTAAGAAAGTAGCAATCAGCTACCAACCTTTTTTGGGTCAATGCCTACCAACTTTTGTTTTAAACATTAAGACAATTTCATAACCACAACTGAAGGACATGGACCAAACTACTAACTCCACACAAATTAAGATAAATAAATATAGTTTTTTCAGCAGAGGTGAGAGTGAAAGGAAAGCAAACTCACCCATCACCACCAATCTTCCTATTTATGACCAATGAACATGTTCAGAAAAAGAAAATAAAACAAAATAAAGAAAATAACTTATACATATTCAAGCTATTAATATCATCTTTTAGAATGCCATGTTAAAACCGTTACATGACTGAGCAAGCTTGTGGATTCTCGTCGCTAAAACAATCACCGCGACTCGCACAATAATACCTGTAGCCGCCGCCGCCCCAGTTATCGTAAACAGGCCTACCATAAGTATAGCATGGGGGAGGAGGTGGTGGTCCACCAATGTAGCAAGGGGGAGGACCCCAAGGATGGCCATGGTAACATTCTGCGCAACAACATCCGACCGGCGGACAGGCCGGCGGCCGCGGTGGAGAAGCAGGTTTTGCTGGTGGTTTTGGCGGTGATTCTTTGGGCTTTTCAGGCTCCTTAGGCTTCTCGGGTTTCTTTTCAGGTTCTTTCGGTTTCTCGGGTTTCTTCTCGGGTTCTTTAGGTTTTTCCGGTTTCTTCTCGGCCTCTTTAGGCTTTTCCGGTTTCTTCTCGGGGTCCTTGGGTTTAGGAGGTCGTTTGATCTCGATACTCTTGATGGATCCGCCACCTTTACGGCATAACTTGTCCCTCAGCTTCTCTGGATCGCAGCAGACCACCGTGATAGTCACTGTGTTGGCCTTCTCGTCGTATATCTGGTCTCGTATTTCTCTTGTTCATAATAGCCATTATCAAACATCAACTCAGACTATTTCTCGCCTTGAGCTCAATGATCACCCAAGACCTACCTACCTTCCTACTACTGTGTTGCAATTCAATGATAATAATGCATAATAATACAAAATGACAAATACGAACAATTACGTATGTACATATATGTGCAGATAAAGCATAAAAATAAAACTGTTTAGAAACTCACGAGGGAACTTAGCAAGAACTTTCTTCACTTTCTTGTAGCAGCGACAACACTGAAGGTCGACCTTCAACACCATTATCGTCACCTGCATCCGTACGCAGCATAATAATTACGTATGATTGATGAAAGTTATAAAGACATAATTCCATATCACAAATTAAGCATTTTTGCCGCATTATTATACATAAGAAGGGAAATAACGTGTTCAGGCATGAAAGAATGAGCAGATGAGCTATATCTTAGCTAGCCTCTTTTACAATAATTATACTCCAATAATACAAGAATAAAAATATAGAGAGGAAAGTGAAACCTTTACCTTCTCCGCCATGTCTGTTACGTTGGACCTGTTGAAGATCAATTTTGAAGTGAAAACTGTGCTAGACTTTGGAAACGCCGGTTTAGGGTTAAGGAAGCAAGAACGTTATAAAATGAAGGTAGGCAGGGCAGGGGGCCGAAGGGTTGTGAATTAAAAATGATGTGTAGCAGGTGAATATTCAGTCTCCATGTGCTGGCGTTGATGGACACATCTCACCTTACATGGAAATAAAAAATTATATCGTATGCGAGGTTTGATGATGTAATGCAATTACGCGGCATTTGCCCAACCGTAAAAGTGCCCCATGCCCAAGTGGCTCAAATTAATCCCATGCCCATTCTATAAATCATCCAACACCCTCAATTAAAGTTAATGAGATGGAACGCGACTTCAATAACTTGGTGTCCTTTTGATTTTGAGCAACTAATTTCTTTTTCGAGGATATATTATTAATATGCAATTTCGTAACGTAAGAAAGAGAATTAAAGGTTGAAAACACCTCAGCTGCAACAGTAGTAAAGGTCTCTTTTCATCACCATTGTTATTGGTCTATGACAATACCATTCATTATTCCGCACCATTTGATTCAAAGATATTCGGTCAAATCCAAAACCTGTTCAATTCAGCCTCATGCAAATTGCTCGGTCCCTTATTTGTTGGTGCTGGGCAGAAACTTAAAGCCTGGTTCAGCCAATGCGGATTAGTAATTATAATATATTTTCTATTAATAATGACTTATTTAAATAGTTAAAAATAACAATAATAAGATGACAATGACAATAACGATAACTTCTTATCTCTCTTTTATCAGTCCATATAATAATAATAATAATAATATCAAGTGTAGTGATTAGAAATGAACCAATTTACCGTAACTTTGGGTGCGAGGGTATTGTGGTGTGTCTTTGTATTGAGTGGATGGAATAAAGTTGTATCAGATTAGACTAAACTGTTTGTATGATGACAATATAAAAGAATTTGTGTATTAAAATATATTCACATATTATAAATGATATTTTTACTGAACATAGTATTAATGATTTAAAGATTCATTAAAGATTGACCAAACACTCGCAGCCGTTGGATTTCCGAATCAAACACAAATGATTTTCATTTTTTTTATTCTTTAAAGAAAAAGCCATTTGTGAGTGGGCGGTCCTGTTTGTAGCTTTGTTTTACATGAGATTCATCAACATATTTTTAGACTTCTATGATTTATCAGCATCCGAAAAAGGTATATATGAATCATAGTTTTTAGAAGCAGCACCATGATTTATATATATATGGAACGACCCAACAAACTTGAAACTATCCAAGTCCAACTGAATATGAAACGGGTCACCTGAATCTGTTTGCAACACAATTCCTATAGTAACCCACATGCATGCATGGTGCTTTGCTTTTATCATCAAATAAGTATCCAACGTATATATACAATACCAACCTTACATTAATTAAACAGTGGAATTGAATTTCCATGTTATTTATATTTGCTTGTTTGCATTTTGGTGATACAAGAGATGTCAAGTAGACGACTCAATCATGGAGCTGATGGGTGAGGTAAGCATCTATTGGACCCTGTCCCTCATATATATAGTTCTACACTCCTACTCCTAGGCAACCAGGATGAAGCGAATATGGAAGAAAAGAAGGATGAAGAGCCTGCACAGATTGTACTCAAGGAAGAGGCAGGTGATTTATGGTATCAAAATCCACATGATGATGAATTTACCGTGGAAAAATAACTAGTGTTATACTGCCAGTATCTTGCCCATTTGTGAATCCACATTCTTGTTCTTTCGAGTCATAGAGATTTGAAATACGATTAGTTAATACAAATCTTTTTGGGCTTTCGAGTTTGTACTTCCTATTATCGTTTACCGTGAAGCCTGTGAGTGGTTTTCTGTTTGCTGATATTTACAGCTCAAACCCAGAGGCACATATTACAAGGAGGAAGGCCGCTCTCTGTATCTGCAGGTCGCAGCCATGGGGTGAAGCCCTAAGGTTCACGGGTTATATTTTGAATGAAGTTATTAATGGAGGGTTTTAATTCCATGAGCTTTAAGATGCCAACAATATATTTTAATCACTGTTCTCTTATGTTCTTGAAAATATAATATTTTATCAAACCCATCTTCATCATACGGTAATTTAGAATTAATAATAGTACTTCTGAGCATGCATGGTGATCAATTATCATCTTAATTGCATTCGACGTTCAATTAATAATTGAATCTATGTCTTATTCTGCTATTTACTTGTAATTTTGCAACCCCGTATTCAAAGATCATCCTAGCGTTCTACAACCCAATTAACATCATATTAATTTCCCACACATCTTGTATGTAATGAAAACAAGCAGTAGAGGCAGCGGAAACGAATGTGCGAAATGAGGAGTAACAGTGAAAGGGATTATAAATCCCACAAACCTGGTAGATCATATATACAAGAGAGCCGGAAAGCAAGTATCCATAGTGAAGGATGAAGAAACAAGCTGATGATACAAGAGAGCCAGAAGGCAAAGGAGAAGGAGAAGACGATGATAGAAAGACGAGTGAAATCAATAAATTTTAATATTATCGGTCCAATTAAGTATAACTCCGAGTTTGTGTGTCCTTATATAGAACCTTTAATCAACTCATAACTCATATATAACTTCAATTACTAAGTGATATAACGTTTAATATTTAAGAGATAAAGCTCATCACCATAGCTTTTCATTTGTAACCATTGAAACATTAGAAATATTTTATAAATATTACAACAAAAAATTGCTAAAAAAATGTATAGATTCTGAATGGAGCTTCAATGATGAATGTCCGAAGAACCGTTAAAAGAATGTATGCATGCTAGCTATTCCCAAGCCGTTCACCCAATGGAAGTGCCTCTGAAAAGTGGTGTTATATTCATCTATTCCCCTTTCATATACACCACTAAAAACTATCACTTTAATTTTTGTTCAATGGCGCATGAAGTGTTCATGTCTAAGAGACGAAAAGCAGCTGCTGTATGCTAGGCCTTCTTCGATCCTAAATCCTGGCATACAGTAGATCAGTAGTCAGCCAATTGTGATTGGGTTCGGGCCTAGATTCGGGTATGGGTTTGGGTTCGGGAGGCTGCTAAGAGCTAATACAATACATCGTTTGCATCGCCTTGCCACGTGGCATAACCTTTTCGGCACTATAAATATTGACACTTGCCAAGTGCTCTCCTTGGTATCCTCTTGATTAAAAATCAACGAAGAGCGCAAGCTTTACTCCTAAACTTGTCTGCGTGTGAGAGAGCGAGAGGGGGATCCATCTCCAGCTAGGGGAGAGTTTGCTAGAAAGGAGAGACAGATGGAACGCGGAGGCTTCCACGGCTACCGAAAACTCCCCGACAATACCTCCGGTAAAGTGTGTGTGTGTGTATACATATAACTTGAAAAAAATGGTGAAAATTACTGCTTGGATCCATGATAATTTCCCGATTTTATCCATATGCAGCTGCACCTGCAATATATTATCTTTCTTTATGAGATGATTCTACTATATCTACCCCTCTCATTCATGTAGCCCAGTATTTGTATTATCTCTTGCATGCAACTGATACTATTTTGGTTTCTGTCTTTGACCCGGATTTGCTACCATCCATCGATATTTACATGCAGATGGTGTCCTCAGCTTTCCCCTTTTTGTTGTTTCTCACTTTCTTAATTTGATGCCGAAGAGTTCTCCTTGTCTTTGTATTTTCAATGGTCGATGATGATAATGTCCGTGTTTCTGATTTCCTTCGAGTTCTTCTTCGATCGGGATGCGTTACCTTGATTCATTTTCCGTTTGCATTGCCTCTGTTTGGCGGTGCTTGTGAAGATTTAAGTGGAGACACAAGATGATGGAAACTAACTTAACCAAAGCAAATGGCTTACGGCAGGCGTGTGAAGCCAATCGGAAACGCATTGGCACTTGACCCCACGATAACAAGTGGCAGCCATGCATTCATTCTATGCCAAATGAATAAAGAAAGCATCTTTATTTCAAAACTTCAAATTTAAGTCAAAAAAAAGTTTTCAGCTTAAACAATTATGAGTTTCTAACGGGCCTTATGCATTCTTAACTGGTGCCATGGCCCCTGGGTACCAAGACTTTAACTCATGGGGCCTTTCATGTTTCCCAAGGGCTACTCTTTTTCATCCTCTCCTTGTGTTCACTCAACTTTAACATATTTTGTCCCGTTCAATGACCAAATCTTGCTATAATTAATAGTTAAATTTTAATAATGTGATTAGTGTTTTATGTTTTTGAAATAAGTTGGGAAAGGTTGTTTGGTCCAGGATTGAAGGTGCCGGAGATGAACATGAGAACGGCTGAAATCAACCATACAAACAACAACCACTCGAACTCCGATGACAACGATTGCACCGTGAGAGAACAAGACCGCTTCATGCCGATTGCTAATGTTATAAGGATCATGCGCAAGATTCTCCCTCCGCACGCAAAAATATCCGATGATGCTAAGGAAATGATCCAAGAATGTGTCTCTGAGTATATCAGCTTCATAACTGGAGAAGCCAACGAGCACTGCCAACGTGAGCAACGCAAGACCATCACTGCGGAGGATGTGCTGTGGGCAATGAGTAAGCTAGGGTTCGACGACTACATCGAGCCTTTGACGGTATATCTCCATCGCTACCGGGAACTGGAGGGTGAACGTGGATCGATCAGGGGTGAGCCGGTGGTGAAGAGAGTGGTTGATTACGGAGCTTTAGGTGTTGCTGCTTTTGCACCTGCCAACTTCCACATGGGGAATCACCATCACCATGGCCATGGCTTCTTTGGGAATGGAACCATGGGTGGATATCTCAAGGGTGAGTCCAATGCAGGCTCATCGCAGGCTGCAGTGGCAAATGGGGAACCATATGCCCAGCAGCTCAAGTGAGGCAGCCTGCTGCAGATATAATAATAATCACCCGGGATTAAGGAATGGTTGCTTTTTTTCTTTTCTTGAGTGATTGTCTAATCATGTGACACTGATTAAGTCGGTGAACTCTTTCTATATGTTGACTTGCACTAGGAGTGACTTCGTTTCCATATTTAAGGTGTAATTTTACGCTTAATTTAGACT